TTTAATTCTATCTTTTTAAAATACCATACATTAAAAGTTCAAAATAGCAGTTGTTATGGAGAAAAATGCATGTACAAACACTGTATCTTAATGAAAACAATCTTTTTTATTTTTTACAATGTCATTAAAACTGTTTAGTTTTGGAGGTGAGATGACTTTTTATTTAAAAAACAAAAACCAACCAAAAATGTTCTGTCATGTTCAACTGCGTTGGTTTTGCTTGTAGTAAAAGAAGATAATTGTCTTACTGCTAGCACTCCAGTCTTAAGTCATGGTCAAGTTTTGCTTCTGCATTGTCTTCAAAATGCTTTTTTTACTGGATGCTTAGTGATCCATTTTAGCTGACTTTGTTGTTCTTCATGGAATGGCAATGGTAAGTCTGTTGGATGGAGACATTTTGAACTGAAACAATGCATCTCATTTGCTTACCTGGAGTCTTTCTCTTCAGCAACACAGCAAATGAATAAATGAAATGATAAGTTAAAATGCATCTTGTGTTCTTTAGTTACGCAAGGAAGTGATACCTGAAAAGGAAATTGGACTTTCCAATTGGGTGAGCTCCTAAAGTCAATAACGCGGATTGTAAGGGCTGTTGCAGTTTCGACAGATCTGTAGTGACAGCGGCCAGCTTGTTCATTATCAATTCTGAGTCCATGGTATTCAGAACTCCCAATCCTGTTCCTAACAGCCCTGTCAGGTCTCTTGGCCTTTGTCTTTGAGAAATACCCTTTCTTTTTCTTAGCCAAGTAGTCCACCCTTCATAAGAGGTTCGTAAGAAAGGAGCACACAACGGTTGGATCTCTGATACATTAGTTTGCATTGACAACTCTACTCTTTTGAGGGACCATTCTGGGTTGAATAACACTTGCTGCTGTCCCGTGTTTTTTATTACATACGGACTAATCTCATAAGTTTTGGGTTCAAGCTTAGGTACTGGCCTAGGTCGTGTGACAGACGTATCTTTTTTAGGATGTGTAACTACTTCAGCGGGCATTGTTGTAACCGGCTCAGCTATGGCATTTATTTTAAATTTGTATGAGAGTCCGACAGTACTATCAGCCCAGAGACAAACCACTTCAGTGGTCTGTGCTAGTGTGAAATTATGCCAACAATCTAACTCTTTTGAAGCACAGGTTCTTGTGCTTTTATTTGTGGGAGTAACTGAGATAGTAATTTGGGATGCCTTTTCATGAGTGATTCCATTTATCGTTCAGCATCCTACTTTGATTTCTTCTCCTACATTTCCCTGAAGTTGGTAGATTCCTTCTACATCTACAAGGTCAGTCTTATTGTTGTTGGTCCTGTGGCTTCTGCTGTACATTGTTCCTCAGGCGCTTTCTTCACCCGGGAGTAATGAATCCAAGCAGGTCGTTCTCTGATCTTGATTGCCATGTAGGTTGTCAGCAATATCTGGAACAGTCCATTCCACTTCTCCTCAAGGGGGTGACCTGAAATGGTTTTAACATAAACCCAATCTCCAGGTTTGAATGTATGCACTGTTACCCACAATTGTAATTGCTCCCACAACTATAACCAAAGTATAACTTTGAGGCGCTAGCTGCCCGGTATACGCTATACTTTGAGGCGCTAGCTGCCCGGTATACGCTATCTTGCGTACGGCTTACAGAGAGCTACCCTAATGGACCAGTCCCCAAACCAAAAGAATCAAAAAGAATACCTGCTCTAAGATGGAAGATGGTCCTTGTCTGTTCCCACAGTGATCTGATTGAGGTGAGGAGTCCCTCCGGGGAAATCCCCGGGGGCGCCCAAGGGAGTCCTGTTCTCAGTGGGTCCTGCAGCCGAACAGAGAGGATCCCATCTGGGTCGCCAAGTCTGATACCTGAAAAGGAAATTGGACTTTCCAAGATTCGTTTTAAAGTTTTAGAAAGCAGGTATTCTTTATTGCAGCGCTGAGTGCACGCTAGGAGGAGAAATTCCCCGTGCACCCAGTGCTGCAATAAGCAGGGTGGAGCCTTTATATTGCCACCAAGGAACGTCCTTTGTGTCATGGCTCAGCTCTCTTTGAAACCATCACCCTACAAAGATATTGGAACTTATCCTTCCAATGAGTATACTAGAATGTATTTTTTCTTGCTAGCTGAAAAAGAGACTGTGCTTTTCCCACTCCCAATTACAATGGTAATTATAATTGTAGTTACAGTTACAATCAGTTACAAGCATAGATGCTCTGTAAATATCACAGTCTGAAATCGATTGCCAAATTGTTAGACAGTGGCACAGGAGCACTCTTGCTAAAGTTTTCTATCTCCTAATTGTAAGATTTTAAAGAAAGAAAAATGGAGTCTTGTTTGGCCCTTAAGGCAAGAAATGACATCTGCGAAAGATACTGTTTTATCTTAAAAAAAATAACATGTTAATTTTTAAAATAAAACTTTTAAGAGCTTCACTTTACTGAAGGAGAAATTGAAGTAATTAGCAGTTTACTCAGGGTAACAGATATACATCAGAATAGAGTTCTAAAGCTGGATGCTTGCTTCTCTGAACCAGGATGACATTCCAAAATATTTCCCCTTAGTATATCCTGTTGGAGTATTCCTTAGACATTTTCTTGTGATGCAGCCTTTATGAAATACTGGGAGTAGCACAATTTGTGATTTGCAATTCAAAGCAAATCTTTCCAGGTTTTGAGAGTTACGTGCAAGTCTTCAGGTAAGCCAGAAGAGAGCTTGATGTATAAGACCCTGACGTGGTTATTTTAGAAATGGTCGAAAAGGTTCCTCTTTACTTCTGAGGCAGGAATAAAGCAGTTGGAATAACTGCAAAATCAGATGGGATGCTGCTATTCTAGAAGGGCTCAGTGCCTCTGTAACCAAGGAAAGTTAGGAAACCCAAAGAGAATGGTTTTGGACAGGCTCAATTGTTTGTCAGATAGGGAATTTCTTTGGAACAATTAATTGCCTTCATTTTTGCTTGTTAACAGTCTTTGGTTAAATACTATTTCTACTTTGTAGACACAGAGAAGTTCTCTAGCTTTATAAAGAGAAAAAAAAAAAGTCTGCCCCCTGAATTGGGCCAGGCAAAATTATAGTACAATGTGTAACTTTGAAAAATGGGTAAACTTCTGTTTTGTGAACTCTGGATTCAGCCTTATGTGCTATACTGTGATCAACAGCAGCATAATTTTTCTGGACTGCAGTAGCTTACTGGCTGGCACATGATTATTTCCATTAAGTATCCTTCAGTGACAGCCTAAGAACATAAGTCTCTTCAAATGATTACTGAATTTGCTCTTTAGCCTGTTGAAGTTTTTGTTTTGTTTTGTTTTTAATTTGTCATCACTTTTTGCCTTTGATCTGAAAATTAAGATATACACTTCAATTTTTTTAGGTTTTAAGTCCCTTTTTTCCCCTCTGTTGCTTGATTCAATTAAGTCTCTACTGCGAAGAGCTGCGACGCTTTGTTTGAATGTGTCTCTGGGTGCTTTGCCTAATAGGCTTTGATGTTGCTTGGTTCCTTCAAACTGCCTGCAACCATGCAGTGTTAATGATGAGGTTACAGCAGCTTGTTAGGGAAGAAGTTGATGGTGAAATAGTTTTTCTTGAAGTTTTAAGAAATTGTGTGGTTTAGAGGCAGATGGAATTAATCTCGTCCTACTAATGAAGGGTATTGGATTGAAGAATCTAAGATTCATGAAGGAAAGTTTCTTTCCATTACTACTGCAGGAACTTACATGATTTAAACATTAATTTTTCAGCTAAAATTTCTTTTCATTAGGGTTTTCAAAGAGTCAATAAACGTAAGACATCACAAAAAAGAATATGGTATTGGCACTGTATCTTATAAATGAAAATACACTTAATTTAGAAATAATTATAAAGTTGTGCATCTTATGTACACATCATTATTAGTTGCTTGGTTTATGGTATTGCTTTTAATACAGTTATACCAATACATTTGAAAAGTTAACTGAGTGAAGTGTATTTGTAGTTCATTTTGCTTTTATGCACAAAACACTGATATTTATAACTGGTAGCTCATTCACTGTTGCAAAAATTAGTCTTCAGCCATTATGACAAGTGTCCCTGTTTTCCATAATGATTTTAATTATTTCATTGATTTTTTTTTTTTAAATCTTCTAGATAGATGGCATGATTTCTTGCCTCCACAGTAGAATACATTAGAAAGTTGCATCATTGTGTTCTTTAGAGATGATAAATGATACTTTAAAAAAGTCAAAAGTGAATATCCTGGCATCATTAGGGACCCTGAAAAAAGTTACACGTCTCTTCATACTGCTGTTGCTAGGATTTTGGGAATATTTCTAAGCCTTGTTCCAGTATTTACCAAATATTAATCAACTTGTCATATTTATTTATATAACAAGTGTACCCATTGCTTACTGGTACTGAGGTTGAAATTGTAAGACTGATGGAAAGTCCGTAGGAGTAAAAGAAGGAGCAAAGTTTTGTCGCACACAGGGCCTTCAAGGAGTAAGGTTACAGTTTCCTTCTCTTATGTAGATGTCCCAGTCTGTGTAATGTTCAAAAAGCATTTCAACAAACTCGGTGATTGGGGTTCCCACATACAGAGCAGTGGGATTACTTGTGTTCTTAGGGCTTGTACAGAGGTTGATGGTTTACAGTCAAAGATCATAAAGATTGTTAGTGAAGATACACATGTAGGTATTCTGATGTGGTTGGAGAGAATCTTTTAAATTGTATAAACACATAACACTTTTAGATAAATACATGCCATTTAATTAAAACCCCAGGTCATGAGTTCCTTAGGTTCTGTGTTTGTGTTGTGTAGTGTCCAAGGAAATAAAAACATTAGTGAGTACTGCAGTCTGTTAAATGGGAATGGAAGAGTCTTTCCTCATGTATTGGAGTTTTGTTTCATTTATGCAAGACGTTAAGACTTTTAGCCTAATTTCTGCATAAAAGGACCTAATTTGATATGAATTGCAGTAATATGTTTGAAAATAACTCCCTTGCCAACAGCTATAGAGTTTGCCACTAACATTTTCTTTTCTCTTTTCAGATCTTTTTGGATCTCTGTTTAATTGATCCATGTTTCCGAACTCTTCCTTGTAACTTTCGCGACCAACCAAAATGAAGTTGAAGCATAACATCAACCCTGTTCTTCTACAGTTTATAAACTTTATTATCTTGGTGTACTCCTTTGTAACATACATCCCGTGGTACATATTTTCAGGATCAAGGCAGGCTATAGCAAAGGCCAAGCAGGTTAAAGCTAAACCTGTGAATAACAAGCCTGGGGGTGCGTACAGATCTGTTAACAGTCTACATTGTTTAGCTTCAGTTTTATATCCTGGGTGTGATACGCTCGACAAAGTTTTTAAATATGCTAAAACTAAATTTAAGGACAAAAAACTCTTGGGAACACGTGAAATCCTAAAAGAGGAAGATGAAATCCAGCCATCAGGAAAGGTTTTTAAAAAGGTATGTCTTTTTGCAGTCTACCTCCAAGAATTTTTCAAAGTCTGTCTACTATCTTTTGAAACAATTTTAATCCAGTAAAGCAAATTAGAGGGAAAAATAAATTTCTCTATTTAGATTAAATAGTTGTGAAAAGAGTTAAATTATGTAATTCCCAACCTTTCATTACTCAGCATTTAAAACAAATCTAAACATTCTTTTTGCATTCTTGACTAGATATCCTTTTTTGTAGTTTCAGCCAATGAAAAAACGCAAATGTGGTTTAGGTATTCGTTTTTAATATTTAGCTGGTGATGTAAGTGGCTTTAAAGTTTTCCTTTTAGGTGAATTAAAAAAGTCTCCTTATTTATGTTATTCTGAACTACAATCAGATAAATATAGAAAAATTACTAGATGCCTGTACTCAGATGTGCCTTGCCAGTAAGCTTAATGGTAACTTAGGGATTTACTGGTTTGCCCTGTGAATTCAGGGCTTAAATGAAATTTTTGTTTGGAAAAGGATTGCACAGACTTTAATTGGAAGAGTTTTGTTTGTGAGTTGTTTGGTTTTTTTGTTTGTTTGGGTTTTTTTTTTTTAATTCTTTCAGTCTCCTTTAATGTGTGAACGCTGCTAATCTGTGATCATGTTGTGTGCGAGATGTAAGTTCAATATAAAACTGTCATTTCAAGGGACTGACTTTTTATAGTTTTTCAAGTTCAGGCCTGTGTTGTCAGCTGCTGTTTTGTGTTTGTTCAGAGACATTTAAAAATGCAGTTTTGCCTGAAGAAGCAAGTGAAAATACCATTAACAGGATATGCGTGTATTTGCGGATATGTGTTAAAAGTCTGCACTTCTATATTAGAAGTCTTTAACTACATGCTATAAAGACAATTTTTAGTTAAGATTAGTTTTCCTGCAGAGGAAAAGTTTATCTCTTCAGGTAATAAAAGATTCCTTAAATGCTGCTAGTTTTAATTCTGATATAGGAGTATAATGTTTAAAGTACAATTTGCTTAATATCACAATACATCACAAAGTGTAGTTCTGATAAAGTCTTTATAGAAGCTTTAATTGTTAGTGAAACTTCCTCCCAGCGATGGGGTTAGCTTTTCAGTATGAAGGAAATGCTGAGAGAAGTGAGTACATGTAATTGTTCTTGATGCACATTTTGCTGCCTCATGTCCCTATAAAGAAACAGAAAGTTCATGTTGTACAAAGTGGGCTTCTGAGCACAAATCAGAATTTTGGCTGCCCGTGATCTGTGCTGTGTTTTTTAAACATAATTAGTAATACAAGGCTTAAGAACTTAGGAGTTTTAGCCATTTCCATTATGCAAGCGAAGTGTTCTGAATATTGGAAAGCTGGAGAATGTTGGTGTTGACCTACTTAAATTACTTGTTTCTAAATACTTAGACTTAGAAATTACCTAAGTTAAGCAATTTTGTCTAAGCTTGACACAACAGTTCATTATGGTCCATTGCAGTACTTGCCCTCGTGATACTTTGTTCCAAGTAGTGGCATTCTCACCTAAGTCTACTTCTAAATTTTTCTTTCAATAAGGAATACAGTGTTTCTTGATACCTCATGACATGTTTTAGTAAATGTGGGAAATGCGAGCATTTCACAAGATACATTGTTGATTCGAAATGTCAGGATCCTTTTCCTTTGATTTTTGCCTTTCATAGCATGCACCTTTTTATTGCCTGGTTCCCTTTAGCAAAGGCAACTTGTTGAGCTTTATTTGGTGCAACTTTTCAAAAAGGTGCACAACAATTTTAATTCTCAGATAAAACACATATAAATTCTATGCCTTACAGGAGTTGCAAAACTTGTTAATTATTTTTTCCCTTTCAGAAATTGAACACAGTGGTGGGAGTGATTGATGCTTTTTTTTTTTGAGGTCATCTGCAAGTCAGGGGCAGATCTGAATGTAGATCATGGGTGTGTGTACTGAATTGCATTACCTGTTAGAAGGTGTCTCTCTGTGCAAATTGCAATGGGCTAGGTTAGCCTAGTTAATGATTCATTAATGGGGCAAACATATATCTCAAAAAAAGTAAAATATTAAGTTTCTGGTTCTTAGGAGAACTAAGTGTGCTACACTTCTAGCTAAAATTATTTAAAGCTTGTTATATAACATTTTTAAGATCAGCTACTACGTTTCGAGAACAAAAATATCCCAGATAATCTGTAATTTCTTGATTGATTTTTTTATGATATTATATTGTTCAGAAGTTTTTATTCCTGTATAGTTGCCAAAGTAGCAGAAATTCATGGATGTTAATAAAATACAAGTACTTGCTTCTGCTCACTTGGTTGCATTTTATAATATTTCGTATTTAGTTAGTTTTTCTGTTTCCTTCTGTAGTATTTAAATCAAGATAAAATAATGTTGAAAATATTTCAGAGATTAAGATGTAATTAATTAAAAGAATTAATTAATTTAAGCAGAGCTTAAATTTTGTGATACCTAAAAGGAACTTTATTCTGCTGGTTGATTATTTTATGTTATCTTGGTTGTAGGTTATATTGTCATGTGTTTGCTTTTATAAATGTTGGTATGTCGATTTTGCTTTGTTTGTGAGTAGTTCTGTTGTTTTCTTTGGGGGGGGTGGGGGTGTGTTATTTGTTTGTTTGAGGGTGGGTTGGTTGTTTTGTTCTGTTATAAAAAAAGTTTGTAACCAAGAACAGAATTAATGAAAACATAATAAGACATAGTTGGAAAAAGTAAACATGGTTTGGTAGGGGAAACCGTTGCATCTAAGCCTGTGAGAGGTGAAACAGTAAGCGCATGGGAATTCAGAACATTGCTTATTATAGCTGATACTGAAGCTTACTGTGAAGTTGTAGGAAGGTTCTTGCCATGCCAAGTCATGAGCAGTAAAAGAGGAGCTTATGATGTTGAAAAACATAGAGTGCTATGTAAGTAATATTTTAAGGTGGGAGGTTTTCAGAGGTGTTCAGCTGCAGTCCATGTTTTCATGTGAAAAAGGCCAAAAATGAACATTTCAAATATCCTTCTTTGTATTATTTTTAATGTACTTTCTACAAGGAAATGTATTTAATTCATGATCACTGATTTCCAAATTGTAGTCAAGATTCTTTAAGCCTTATAAGCTACTTTTAGGAAGACCTTGAAAAGTAACTGAGTTTGGGTAGATAATAGCTCTGCATGTGTCTGCAGCTTCTTTGAGAGCATTTTGTGACACCTTTACACTAAAAATTTGAGTGTGGTTACCCTAAAATCTGGATTAAAGAAATGTTCACTGTGCAGCAATTATTTAGGCTCTATACTTTGCGGGATTTCTAAATATTAATACTGTACTGGTATTTAATAACATTCTCCAATGCATTAAATAAGTAGCTTTAAAACTTGCGATTTAAGTACGTTTAAAAGCTGGTGCGCTAGAGGGCAGTATTTTTCTATTTAATGTATTTTGAAGTAAACTTTCAGAGGTGCTGTCTCTTCTGATTTAGTGTTGGGTTTTTTGTTTCTGTTTGGTCAGTTCTCAGTAGACTTCTTGGGCCTTTCTTTTGCAAACTCTTGGACAGTTACTTTGTTTACAAGTGTAAGTCGTTATCTAGCACAAAAAAATTCTGAAACTTGTAAAATTAAATGTGTGTAAATGTTTAAAAGATTATGGCACTTAATGTCAGTCTTAACAGCTGTTTACAGTAGAAACTGTACATTGGAAAATATTAGTGAAAGCTACAGAGGGAAGGGCCAAGAAGGGAGGCGTACGTGAAGATGTACTCAAACATAAAGGAGAATGAGAGAAACCGTAACTTGCTCTGTGTCCTGCAGAAGAAGTGTATAGGGAAATGCAAAAGTAAAGCTGCATTGAAAGAGGCCTTCTCATCTGTTTTCATGCGTCAGTGTTCTTCAGAAATATATTTCTATGTATAGAAAAATAACTATAAAGGTGCTATACTTCTTTTCTGTGGACTTTCTAACCTTTAAAGAAGGGAAAGCACCGATAAGGCCTTCTTTCACTACTTTATATCAAACTTGCTTAAGCAATGAGGATAAGTTATGTAAGAGAACAAAACAAGGGAAAAAAATCAGAATCACCAGTGTTTTTCAGAAAGGTCTATTTTTGACCCTTTAATGATTTGATATTTCAGTTTTAGTGAGTTACATAGCGAATGGTGGAAGTTACCAAAACCTGTTCATTTACGGATTGGCGAGCTTACTAGAAACAGTAATGAGAATGTTTGTATTTCTTGGCCTAACTATTTGAGAGCAGCATCCCTGAGACCATGTTGTAGGTAGAGTACAATAGTGGAAAGGGTGTTGTCAGTCTCACTTCTGTAAATTGTGATGAGCTTGTCAAGAATTTCCAAATCTGCCCAAAATACTGCGTTTGGAGGAGAAATATCCAAATTGGAATTAAAATTCCAAGTTACTGAAATTTGGGTGGACGGAAAGAGGTGCTTTCTTTTCTTTAGAAACAGTGGAAGCTTTCCACACCAGAAATATCTTGGTGTGTTGAAACTGAAAGGAACTCCCAGGTCCTTCTCCTTGGAGGGCTGTAGCTGTGAGTGCAGGTAGTGTGTGAGCCCTCTGCCCCACGGTGCTGTGCATGTGGTCAGGCTGCTGCGATTCTCTCACTGATTACAGCAGGGAAATTCAATGTGATCTTTCTTCTCCAGTAAGGTTTTTGGCTCTGTAACAGTCTATTTTCCAATAAAGCTGAATTTCTGTAAATATAACAGGAAAACCTTTGCAGATATTTATGTGAGAAGTTGCTAAATATTGCTGTTGTTGGCAAGTATTGGTTTTTGGTTTTGCTAAATGATATTTTCCCAGGAAAAACATTTGTGAAATTTGTGAACAGCTGCACATATACCTGTCCTAAGAAAGGTGTGTCCTGCTAAACAAGTAGATTAATGAGCAATATGCAGCAAGGTTTGTAGTAGGTACAACACAGTTACCCAATAGTAAACTTAAGCAGTTTGAAAAAGTGTTTTGATAAAAGAAATCTATTAGACTTTTTGTTTGAGAGAGATTTTCAAATTCATTGCTTTGGAAAATAGATGTGGAGATACAAACTCATTAGAAATGTAGTTACATGCCAAAAAGCTGTTAGATTGTACAGCCCACAAGTCTGAAATGTAGTTAAAGTTGATAAATGTAATCTGGAAAACAGAATGGAGGGAGGAGGGAGAAGTTTGCTTTTTCTGGCTTTTTAAAATCATTTGCATTTATTACTAGTGCTTTGTAGCCAAAGGAAATGACTGAAAGACTTGGCTAATAAAGATTAGTTTGTATTACAGATATTACTAATGTATTATTTAGATATTACAAAACATCTTTGTACTTTATCTGTATGAAAATTTCTAGAATGTCATCAAAGAAATAACCTATCACTTGGTGGGAAAATAGCACTGTAAAGTGCAAGCGCACACATAGAAATCTGGCAGATAGTGATCTGTAAATTCAAATCCAATTCTACTGTGCACCAGCTTTCCCATATAGAAGAAAAGTGAGATTGCTTAACTTTTTCCACATGACTTTTCAGTACTGAGATTTGCCAGTAATTTCCAGTCCAGTCTTCTGTCCCACTTTTGTTTAGCAGTAAAAAAGGGCAAAAAGATTACCCCTCTTCCCCCTGACATTGGTTTTGGAACAAAGGGAGGAGGATTTCACGATTTATGACTGAGGACCCGTTGATATACTGCTTTCTGGATTCCAGTTTCACTGTTGTGGGTTTTGTTTTTTTTTTTTTTAATAAGAATGAACATGTAAGCATCAGATTTGTGTAGGAGAATCGTAGCCCAAATATCCAAGCAAGCAAATATAGAGTATGTATTGTACTAGCTTGTGCTTGTCACCCTTTATTTAAAATAAAACAAACCTTTGTAAAAAATCTAAAGGCATATGGGTCAGATAACCACGGCCTTTCGGAGGTCTTCTGGAGCTACAAAATACTGTGGGAAACACATGCTTTCCTAATGTGAAGACAGAAACTGAGGTGATAACATGTGTGGAGGTATTGCAGTATTTGTGTTGGAACTTCCACAGTCTCTGCAGTTTTTGGCAAGAATATTATTCGTTATCTTGAATAAACTGCTTTTAGAATTCAAGCAACTTTTACTTCAAACATCTGTGGTTTCTTTGCATGGATAAAGATGTAATAGGACATATGTTAAGGATTTTCGTTTTCTAAATTTAATTTGTTATTCTTACTAGGTCATCCTTGGCAAATACACCTGGCTTTCATACGAAGATGTATATATTAAAGCTGTTAATTTTGGAAACGGCTTAGCAGTATTGGGTCAGCAACCAAAGACTAACATTGCTATCTTTTGTGAGACTAGAGCTGAGTGGATGATTGCAGCGCAGGCCTGCTTCATGTGCAACTACCAGCGTAAGTATGCGTCTTTCCAAAAATATTCATGTCTTTTGATCCTACAACACAATTTGAAAACAAACTTTTTTCGTACTTCATTTTACACACTAAGAAAACTTTATAAAAAGTTTATACAGAACGTTTAAAATGCAAATAAAAAATACTACATAAAGTAGACACTGTGTACTTTGTAGTGTTTTACTGAATGGAGAAATGTGTATCTGTTTGCAGCTGGAGGATGGTTTCAGTAAGTATATCTTGCTCAATGAATTTGTGAGAGGTTTATTTTCTTTTGATCTCAATTCAGTACAGATTCCCAAGTTTCTGAAAACAAACAAACAAAAATCACACATGAATTCATTGACTCAGTTTCAGGAGTTGACATCAAACCTTCATCTGTGTCTGTAAGTTTTGTTTTAGCTGGATCTTTTAGTCAACCCTTCAATTTTGATTTTGGTTAGTGGATTGTATTGTTATGTCTAAAAAATGAAAAGGAATGAGTAAGTCCTGAACTTATTTTGGACAGCTCTTTCAGATTAATTGCTTAGTAACTCCTTTACCAAACTGTAAGTAATTCCTTAATTCAGACCTTAGGCTGAGCTTGATATATTTTTTTTTGTGATTTTGTATTTTTCTTTCTTTTCACTGCCTCTTGACTTTCTCATAGTCCATTGTGTGTCATTAAATATATCCTAACTTAACCTGAATGCTGATTTGAGGCTATGCTTAAGGACAAGCTTGAGTCCTAGTTGTTACTTCAGAGACCTTTAAGACTGTTTTTAGTTTTGGTGAGCTATTAAATCATACACTGACTGCATCCTTAACCCTGGCAGTGGAGACTGAGACTAGGTTCTCTGACCTGGCTGATAGTCCTCATTTTTCATGGAGTGACCATAAGAGAGGTGTCTTCTGTCTGATGACAGTTTTAGTCCTATTCTGTCACATCTAGTTACTTATCCTTTAGTCTTCTGCTATCTTATTGTGGAGACCACTAACTGTGTTGGAGTAGAGCTGAGTCTGCTCAGGGAGAAGGTGCTTTCTTGACAGAATGTGTACACTGGGCAGTTGCAGCTGTATTGTGAGGAGTGGCAGAATAGGACAGACTGGCTGGAGGTGTCCTTGCATAGCTTCACTTCACAGCACCGGGTAGATACAAATGCAAAGTGAGATTGGTTCCCCTTTTACTCAGATCATGTAAAGGGCCACAGCTATGTCCAAGGTACATCTCTGCCACGGTGGAAGGCCGGCTGTGTACCCTGACCTAGTCTGAGCCTAGACACAAGGATATGCATGGGAGCTCTAGGCTTATTTTTCTTGCTGAGAAGCCTACTGAGTGCTGATCTCAACTTGGTATAGGAATTGTTCTCAAACATCTGTTTCATCCTTAGTGTGTCATTCACCTAACTGCAAGCCCAGCCTGGCTGGGTTCTGTGATGTTCTCAGGGAAGGCATTTCTCATTTTCCCCACAGGACACTCTAGAAGCTGCTGTTCCTCACAGGCTTTGGCCTCTTCTCTCCCCTGCCACATTTACCCTCCTTCCATAAGAGATAGGATGTAAACACCAGATGTGCAGAAATTCCTGATTTACTGACTACCTACACTAAAAATATATATCAGTTAGACTTTTTTCAGATTTTGGAAGCAAACCTAACGAAAAAATTGTATCTTAAATGGTCCCTCTCTGCTCTGAGCATGAGTGTGTTTCAGTTTACAAAGCCATAGGTTCCTGAGTGTATGGCAGGTCTGTGTGGTTATTTGGTGTATACCCTTACACTGTGTTACTCCCTCAGTTTTAAGGGTGGAGTTGGTTACAAGATGTACTGCCCTAGCCCATACCATTTCAAAAGCAGTCTACTTGCCTTGTCTGCAGAGCCAGTTATCGTACAAGGAGAGAGTGGATGTTGTGTGCTGAGTTTCACAAGGCCTTTGCAATGATCTCCCGTAGTGTCTGTACATCCAGGCTATGTAAATAGAGACTGGATAAGTAGCTGGTAAGATAGATGGAAAATTCATTAGTCCATTGGCTGAAGGGGATTGTGATCAGCAGGACAAAGTTAGTTACCAGCCCTTGGGGATTGATACTGAGTCCATTACTGTTTAATGTCTTTACTGAAGATATGGATGTTGGGACAGAGTGCAAATACAGCAGGTCATAGCCTGTAGCAAGTTGGCAGGAGCAGCCAGTTTGCTGGAAGCAGGGCTGATGTTTAGGGGAGGCCTATCAGCTGGAAGAGTGGGCTGTCAGGAACCTTATGGAGTTCAACAAAGGCAATTACAAATTCCTGTGTGTGCTGGAGTAACCTCATCTACCAGTATAGGCTGGGGGGCAGCTGGATAGAGAGCAGCTTTGCTGAAAAGGACCTGGGGGTCCTGGTGGATAGTAACTCAACCATGAGTATGCAGTGCCTTCTTACAGCGAAAGCCAACAGCATCCTGGGTGATAGTATCATGAGTGTAACAGGTAGGTCCAGGGAAGTGGTCCTTCTCCTTCCTTTAGACACTGGTGAGACCAGATCTAGATTACTATGTCAGTTTTGGGCTTCCCAGTAGCAAAAAAAAAAGACCTTGACATACTGGAGCGAGTCCAGTGGAGGGCTGCCAAGATGCTGAAGGGGTTGGAGAACGTGACATACGAGGAGAGGCTGATAGAGCGAGGTCTGTTCAGCATTAAGATGAGTGAGTTGAGATCTTGTTGCTGTCTAAAACTATCTAATGGGAGCATACAGAGAGGATGAAGCCAGACTCTGTTCAAAGGTGTGTTTTGATAAGACTAGAGGCAACAGGCACAAGCTGAAACACAGAAAAATTTAGATATTAGGACAAACTTCTTCATTGTGAGGGTGGTAAAATACCAGAACAGCAGCCTAGGATGGTTGTGAAATCGCCATCCTTGGAGATACTTAAACTGGACTGGCCATGGCCCTGACCACTCTGCTCTAATGAACTATTTTGTGCAGGTGATCTTCAGATGCCTTCCAACCTAATCAGTGTTATTTTTGGTCCTTTATTCAGTGAGGGACTGCTGCTAACTTGCCTGCCAGAGCAGACATCAGTGCAGACTGTTCTCAGATGAGGTGCCTGCGTTGCTTGTAAACTACATGTCTCATAATACACTGACAGTTCCCTTTTATCACGTTCGGGATCTGTTAGATTCCTAGTGACTATCCTGGGAATAAAATGCAAAGGCTTGTATTAATTAGAAGGGAAGTATACTTATAAATCCTAGGAAGATTTCATAATTTAAGGAAAAAAAAAAAGGCATCTGAGATAGTGGACAGATGTCGTGTAGATGGTATGCATGTGTTTTTGGTTTTGTTGGATTGCTGTTTCAAATTCCCTTATAGAGACGTGCTTCAGCACACTGTCTGACATGGTATTTAGCATCTAAGCTGTATGTCATCTTATGTGAACTTGGCTGACTTTTGTGCTGGCAGATGATGATATCATGCAGTATTCACGTAGTTGGTTTGCTGAGTGAATTATAGAATTCACATGCTGTTTAAGTAGTGTGGCAAGATATTCCTAAATGACTTATATTGGAATTTTTCAGTTTACAAGTTTCACAACAGCTAACTGCTGTGGCAGTGTTGTGACATTTTTTCTGAATGTGAAATGTATTAAATCTGATGGTACACGCCCAGAACTGATGCCAAGAGAGCAAGTTCATCTGTTTCATACGTAGTGTTGGAGAGAATGCCTTTTGTACTGCAGAATTAAAATGGGGAAAGTAATTTTTATGTTACGAATTACTCGCACAAACAAGTAGTTTTATGATTAGAAATACTTGCTTTGTTGTAAATTTTACATTGTTTGAAGCTATCTAAGTCTTGTCTTTTCAGGAGGTAGAGTGGAATTGCTAGTTCAAAAACGGAAAAAAAAGTACTAACACAAAATCATATTTTTCTTCCAAAGTATCTCCCCTTCATCTGCGTGAAGAGCTCTTCACCAGTGTGGGCAGATAAAACATGGGGGTGTACAACCAAATAATGAATAAATAGGAGAGGCTGTGTTTCATTTTTCAATCATGCCTTTCTGAAGCTTGAGCAGAAGTGGTTTTGTCAGAATTGATTTGGCTGAAGCCTTTAAAGGTATACTTTTCCTTTTTATTTTCTGTGTATGATGGATGCTGAAATACTCAGTTTAACATTTTAGTTACATTGAAATAAATGGTGAAAGTTTTATTTGTTTCTTTAGGGCAAGGTCTGTTATTGTATATTAGCTGGCAAATTTAGCCGTATTGAGACTTTTCTTTTTGTCAGACATTTAGAGCAGTATTCCTAGCAGAAGTCTAGATATCAAAGATTCACTTGTACTATTGTGTGTGTAAAGAGGAACACAAAAGATAATCCCTTCTTGGTATGTCTTCAAGAGAAAAAAGGAAAGAAAAAAAATTACCTAAACTTTCAGATTTGCCTGAAAAATGTTAGGTGCCAACGTGGAGAAGTGAGAATGTCACAGACGGGAGTCATTGCTCGTGTTTTTTTTTCTCTCCATGACATCAGTACCTCATCATATAAATGGTATATCACTCTTTCTCTTTGACTCTGTCGTATAGCTCTCAGTTGTCCTTGAGGTGCTTATTTGTAGATGAATAATTAACTACATAAATGGTTATTTTGGAGATTATACTTTTCTTTCCGGGCAGTGTGTTGTCTTGGTTGCGCTTGTTGGCTTGGGGAAACTGAATTTCTGCTAGATGTTTATATAGCAGGGGTCAGTGCAGTAAGTAGAGAGAGCTCGTGGGAACTAGTAGAGGCACTCTGCTGGACTTTGCTCCCACCAAATTAAAGAAAACACAGTGCATGTGCATTTGCCCTGCAACAGTTCTGAACTATGATGGACTGTTTTAACAAGGAAAAAATAAGTAGAGGTCAACTATTTACTTTTCTGTGTAAGAAAACTGCTTTTGAGTTCTTCCTTAATGTGCTGTGCTGAGTTAGTAACTCCCTGGATTTCAAATCTTCAAATACAACAGAATTTGATTTTGTCTTATTTTTACTTTCTATTTTTCTGCAGTGAACATAATATAGTTACAGCTCTAACACACAATGCACTGTCTTGTTTTAATAATTACGTTGTTTAAATATTCAGCAAAATCCAGGCTAAAATACAATAAAAATTCAGATACCTAATGTGACAAAACTTGCAGCACTGATGGGGTTATTAATGATTGCGTTGATTGACCTTACAACTTTCTTGAGATGCTTCTTTTTAGCATTCTGCTTAGAAAATGGGAAGTTAATAGTTTTTTTGAGAGCAATACCTCTCTTCCTTTTCGAGCTGCCTTTTTCTTTCTCAGTCTCTTCCTATCTTTTCTGATGCAGTTGCTATAAAAATGGCAGGAAATTAAATACGATATAAAAACTGTTAATATGTAATAATTGTGATTTAACACTTGCTAATGAACTGTCCTTAAATACAAGAAACAGGGTTTCTAATAGTTTCCTAAATATTTTCTTTCCTTGCTATTCTCTATTCTCATGATGTCAGTTCAATGTCTAATGATTTTGATGAGTTGTTTTAAATAGATGGGAGAATGATAGGCACAGATTTATTGCTGACTGAGAATTAATCTGCTGATGACATGTATTACAGTGTTACAATGATTTCTTATTAGCAGTCGATTGTAAAAGGCTACTAACAAAGCATGTGAATTCCAAAGAGAGAATCACGTAAATGAAAGCTATTTCTTTCCTGAGTACAAGAGGACTTTTTAAACAGTGTATTAAACTCAGGACAGATGCCTATTTTTAAAACTAAAATGGTAAAAGCCATGAAGATAGGAGAGTAGATCTAGAAGAGAATTACATAAGGTAGTGTGGTTTTGGTACTTCTAGTTAGACCTTGAAAAATAGTAAACAGTCACATAGACAATTGTTGTTCCTTATTTCATTCTGGGAGAAACTGAAAACTATGCTGTGTTTAAGTCTATGTAATACGTATTTTTTAAAGCACAAACTATACAACCTTTATGTTAGTTGACAAATATTTTTGCTATGTTGCCTAACTTAGGATAGATTGATCTCAGCCCTTTGTTGTAAACTATACTTGAAAGTGTAACATAGGTTAATGTTCCCCCGCTGTGTTTTCTGTTCCAGTTGTTACTCTGTATGCTACCCTGGGAGGCCCAGCAATAGTACATGGGCTAAATGAAACGGAGGTGACCACCATCATCACTAGTAAAGAATTGATGCAAACAAAATTGAAGGTCAGAAAACTATTCTTCGTTTATCTTTCCAGTGTATCTGTTCACTGTTGTTAAAAGGTCCGGTTTCATTGTACAGAACAATGATTTATTGCTTGTCTATAGGGCAGACACTTCTTTTAGAATAAGATTTATGTATCTGTCTTCATGTACAGAAAAAACAATAGTTTCTTTCAGTGGGATTTTGGCTGCTCAGTGACTTTGGAGAACAGGATGAGCAATTTGTGCTACTGAAGAGCTGCAGCGCTGCCTGGTACAACACCTTTACAAGAAGTCGCTATGGTTTCTGGGTGGATTTAATGACTATAAATTTAACATTTGGAGCAAATGGGAAAGACAGAAATATCTATCAATTTGTATATGAATAGCTAAATGTGATCATCCTCTTGATTTATTGTTGGATGTTTTCCCAGCAGAGAATGGCTCTTAAATCTAAAGACGGGTGCTCAAAGAGTTAGAACTGTTTTCCAGTGCGGGGGAAAGCTTATTAAACATTAGAATGGTCAAGAAACTTTTTGGACTTACTGACCCAGATTGAGTACACAAGTAGTACAACTAATCTGCAGGAGATCATCATCATCCTGTGTTTTGGGAGATCTAGACCTTTCACAAAAGGAAATTGTTTTAATTAAAAACTGTGTGCTATTGCCGAATTTTGAATGAGAATTTCCCAGACTCTTTTTAATTTACTAGAATGACAGTATATATATTGCACATTTATTTCAGCTTGCAGCAAGAGAATAAATTTCTTCTGCTAGAAATGGTAGTCATCTTTTTCCCCTAGAATATTCATAAATGTTTTAGAACCCACATCTTCCTTTAAATGCTTCAGTAGTGCTTAACTAATAATTTTTCATTTTTTTGCTGGCTATTGCTTATTTTAAATAGCGTAGTAATCAAGGAGCAACATAAGAATTATTATGAGCTCAGTGTTGCCAGATTCCCTCAGTGGTCTATGAGAGTGGAAAGTTGATTACCTCTACAAATCATTGCAGTCTTATTTGTGGGCTTTTCTTTAAATAAGACCCAGATCAGTAAATGGTTGGAAGTTTTTGGCTTTGTAAATGGAAAGTCCAATCAGTTCTGCAAATGTAAATGTGGAAAGTTTCAGGCTTTGCAGCTGTTTGAGCTACATGAGTTTACCCTCTGGTATTTTTAATCCTCAGATATTTTATGTCTTTTTTTTTTATGTATACAGTAGATTTTTTTAATTTTTTTTTCTCTCCTTCATGCTAGCACAAACCTTGTGTTTGATTTCTGAACACATGTTTGTTTCCACAGGAAATTGTTTCTCAAGTTCCACTGCTGCGACATATTATTACAGTGGATGGCAAACCAACGACATGGTCAGAGTTTCCCAAGGGTGTCATTGTTCACACTATGGCTTCTGTGCAAGCTATGGGGGCCAAGGCAGATACTGGTAGGTTATATCTTCTTTCTATATGGATCATCTCATTTGTTGTCCTACTTTGACCCTGTTGAGTAAACCTGGGGAGATTGCAGTTCTCAAAACATTATGCAGTGATTAACCTTTTATCATCTGCTTTTTCTTTGAATAAAATCTGTGCAGTTTTCTGGTTTGCTTGTGGTTGGATTTTGGGGTGTGGGTTTTTTGGTTGTTGTTTTGTTTTTCAACAGAGTAGAATAAAATGCTTTTAATAGAAACTGTCTTCTCCACAACAAGTGTCATGTGTTGAAGAATAATTTTTAGGATAAGCATTTAGGCCAGGATAGAAACTTGGAAAGCATTCTTATGATAAGACATGTTAAAACCAGGTTATTCAGAGCACACAGAGGAAATTATTGTGCATTTTATAGCAAAAGACATCAGCAATTCACTACCATTAAGTTTTCTTAAATTCACAAATAACAAAATGTAAAACAGGCGTTTTAATCTGATAGAACTGTCACTTTTATTGCATTTCTGAGAGTATCAATCTATGATGTTAATTTCTTGAAATCTGTTTCCAATCTATGTAACATTTTTGGAATTAGAATTCAGAATTTCAGAAGGTGTTTTAACTATTATAACAAATGACGTAGTTCAAGATTCTTATGGAAGCAAGGAGGGTGCTCAGGAAGCTCACTACCCTGGATTTCAGGAGAGCAGACTTCAGCCTCTTCAGGGATCTCCTTGGCAGAGTACAATGGGATGAAGCCCTGGAGGGAAGAGGGGCCCAGGAAAGCTGGTTAATATTCAAGGATCACCTCCTCCAAGCTCAGGAGCAGTGCATCCCAACAAAGAGAAAGTCAGGTAGAAACACCAGGAGGCCTGCATGGATGAACAAGGTGCTTCTGGACCAACTCGGACACAAAAAGAAGGCCTACAGAGGGTGGAAGCAAGGACAGGTAGCCTGGGAAGAATACAGAGAAATTGTCTGAGCAACCAGAGATCAGGTTAGGAAAGCTAAAGGCCCTGATAGAGTTAAATCTGGCCAGGGACATCAAGGGCAACGAGAAAAACTTCTATAGATATGTCAATGATAAAGAGAGATCTAGGGAAAACGTAGGCCCTCTCCAGAACGAAACGGGAGACCTGGCTACCTGGGATATGGAGAAGGCTGAGATACTCAATGATTTCTTTGCCTCAGTCTTCACTGGCAAGAGCTCCAGCTGCACAGCCCAAGTCACAGAAGGTAAAGGCAGGGACTGGGAGAATGAAGAACCGCCTGGTGTAGGAGAAGATCAGGTTCGAGACCATCTAAAGAACCTGAAAGTGGACAAGTCCATGGGACCTGATGAGATACACCTGTGGATCCTGAGGGAACTGGCAGATGAAGTTGCTAAGGCACTATCCATCATATTTCAGAAGTCGTGGCAATCTGGTGAAGTTCCCACTGACTGCAAAAGGAGAAACATAGCCCCCCATCTTTAAAAAGGGAAAAAAAGAAGATCCAGGGAACTACAGGCCAGTCAGTCTCACCTCTGTGCCTGGCAAGATCATGGAGCAGATCCTCCTGGCGACTGTGCTAAGGCACATAGAAAATAAGGAGGTGATTGGTGACAGCTAACGTGGCTTCACTAAGGGCAAATCCTGCCTGACTAATTTGGTGGTCTTCTATGATGAGGTTACAGCATTGATGGATAGGGGAAGAGCAACTGACATTGTCTACCTGGACTTGTCCAAAGCATTTGATACTGTCCCACACGACATCCTTGTCTCTAAAGTGGAGACACATGGATTTGATGGACGAACCACTAGGTGGATAAGGAATTGGCTGGATGATCGCACTCAAAGAGTTGTGGTCAACGGTTCAATGTCCAAGTGGAGACTGGGGCCGGTGCTATTTAACGTCTTTGTTGGTGACATGGACAGTGGGATCAAGTGCACCCTTAGCAAGTTTGCGGATGACACCAAGTTGTGTGGTGTTGTGGATGTGCTGGAGGGAAGGGATGCCATCCAGAGGGACCTTGACAGGCTGGAGAGGTGGGCCT